GTNTTTGGGGGAGCTGGCACCGCTTCTTCACGAATTTCCGAGTGCGTGACAAGGTGAAATGAAAGCTAATAACCGCTTGTAGGTACGGGATGACAGCGCCTTCTGGTTGTATGTTTTCCGCAAACGAATTTATACTAAACATCAGCTTAGGACCTCTTCTACCGTTGGCGGCTGGGCTCAGGTCTGTATTTGGTAAGAGAAGTTGATTTCCGAGGGGTGTTTGGGGGAGCTGGCACCGCTTCTTCACGAATTTCTGAGTGCGTGACAAGGTGAAATGAAAAGTAATAGCCGCTTGTAGGTATGGGGTGACAGCGCTTCTGGTTGTATGTTTTCCGCAAACAAACGGCAACTAGTTTCAGCTTACCTATTCTCTGAAAGTCATAACAAAACCTCCTTTATGTAACGTTGCTATGTAAGTATTTGAATATTTGGTAAGTCTGTAGGCAGAGACTTTCATCTGATTTCTGCGAAAAAAAAAAGGCGAAACAGGCACTTATTTCCTTGCATCAATTATACGCTCTACCACGCTATAAAATCTAAAGTGCAATATCTTATTGGAACACCATTTTGGAACATTTCGGCTACATAGCTTGCGTGGTAAGGACTTTAACACTAGAGATGACCTCAGATGAGTGGATTGAAGTGGTTCAATATATCTCCAAGTAGAGTCCAATGTTCATTCAAGGTCCCACAACTATAGGTCAGGTAGAAAGCATCTGGTGGTCATAAACATGGGCTCAAGCAGCAGCAGCTGTCGAGCTATCCATATTCCCGTTAGCACGGACTTCTATACATATTGCGGCAACGACTCAGCAGGCTTCACAATGAAATACCCCCTCATTCCCACCACCTTTTCTCCCTACCTACCAACCCCAAAGCCCGCTTTATTAAACGGCTTCTCAGCCTTACCCCCGGCCACATATTCGACACATACGAGGGCGGCGCACAGAAGCCATATTCAAAATGGGGTGAATATCAACGCCCCTTGCGTGTGTCGGCAGCGCACTCTTTGTGTGCTCCCTCCAGAATGTCACAGACCGTTTAGACTTGGTGCCTTCAAGTTTTTGAAATATAAGGCCCATAAGGACATTCAAGCACCCAATAGAGAAGCGGAAAAAGGGCAGAAACGAGGGTGAATGTGTCCGCGTGATGCAGAGGATCACAGCTCTCATCCTGTGTACAAAAGAAATGAATGTGAGCTTGTTTGCCAATAAAGGAGGAGAGGGGGGGGGAAACATACAGTATTTGGACGGCAGTCAGCACACTGAGACCAAAGTTCTTTCCAAGAACAGCAGAAGAAATTCACTGTGTCTTTGATGATGAAGAGACGACTAAGGAGTGCCCAAAAAGCGGCCCCCAGGTTGGCTGCTTCCCCTGCAAGACATCAATTATACAAACAAAGAGCATTACAAAACAATTACAAAAGAAACACACAAAATGTGATCAGAGTTCTTTGTGATTCGCATTGTGGCAGAGGGAAGAATGGTCGCTTCGAGTAAGCTCCCAATTTAGTGCGAGGATTACCGTTGGCGGCTGGGCTCAGATCTATGTTTGGTATCAGAATGATGGCTTGTGGATGGTTCGCTCATTGATGGGG